CAAAATATACTGGGTGTTTCATCAAGAATAAGGCAGTAAGTATGTAATTATTTCAAAAAATCGAATGTCTGTAAAACCAAACTTCAAGATTTGTCAATACCATGAAAAAAAACTTTGAAAAATCCTTATTCTGCCAAAACAAACCGCATCCCGTTATCTTTTCTCGTTTTCGAGATATTTACCTGAAAAATGTATCAGTTTATCTAAGTATTATCCATATTGAACTATTGTTTTAATCAAATAATGTGACTTTATTGAGTATTCAAATTAATTTTATTGAAGTCAATAACATAAAAATCACGATAGAACTAGCATTTGTATACCTAATACGCAAAACTACCTAAATTAAACTTAACTATACGGAAAACTCTAGCACAGTAAAACAAGTGAGTAATCGACTTTTGGACTGCTCGAGTGGATCAAGGTCCTTTTGGTTCTTTGCCAAGACCATGGGAAAAAATTTCACATCGGCTTCCTTTCTACCTTTAGTTAAGAACAATAATTCCATTGTAGTATCGTCAAAGGAAGGAGGACAATGGCAGAGCATCACACGTAGGTACTGCCACACATTGGCTCTTACATGGACCACGTTGTATTTAAACGAAAAACTATTAGGAAAATGTTTCTGCATCTTGAAACTGGGAAATCTAGTGGTCCCAACGGCATTCCACCAATTGTCTTCAAAACTTGCATACAAACAAATACTAAGTAAAAAAATAACCTTAACTCACCTTCAGAACACCTTCGAGCACAATTATTTTCAAATTCAAGACAAACTATTGGATATTACTGGCAGAAACAATGCCCAACATGTGAAGACAGAATATTATCAAATACACAAAATACAGAACAACACTCACTCGATGACCTGGTACAGCACACAACATTCCAGATTATAAACAGTACCCAGGAACACCATAACAAAATTGAAAACCACCAGAAACCCTAAAATATCCCCAGAAACACAACAAGTAATGACCGAGAGAAGTAAACTAGAGAAAGGCACACCACAATATAGACTCCCAGAGCAGGCAGGGTTCAAAAGTGAATACAGTACTGTAGACCACCATCAGGCGATCCGCCCACTCATAGAGAAAAGCACCGAATACAACATCCCTATATACATAGCCTTCGTAGATTATGAGAAGGCTTTCGACTCTATAGAGCTACACGCCTTTCTAGAAGCCTTAAACAATGCTAGAATAGAACATAAATACTCTGGCATAATATCGTTTATCTAAAAAACTGCTACGATGACTGTCAAACTAGATGAAGTAACAACAACGAAGAAAATGAAAGTGGAAACAGGAAACAAGGAGATACTATTTCCCCAAAACTTTTTACACTGGCGCTAGAAGACGTCTTTAAGATGTTGGCTTGGGAAGAGAAAGGTATTAGAGTGGACGGTAAAATGCTCAACCATTTACGCTTCGCGGATGATGTTGTTATCCTTTCCCAATCATCGGAGGAACTCCAAATAATGCTCGAACAACTCTATCACGCATCTGCAAGGGTAGGCCTCCGAATGAATTTGTTCAAGACTAAAATCCTAAATGAAAACGAAGAACTAATTACGGTCAATCAGCATAGAACCGAAAACGACAAAGAGTATGTATATCTGGGTCATGCCATAAGAGTCGGTAAAGATAACCGAACAACTGAAATTTCGAGAAGGATTAAACTTGGATGGGCAGCTTTTGGTAGACTGAACTATATATTCAAGAGCACCACATTAGGAATGAGGACATCCGTCGACAAATGAAGGTGACTGACATCGTCGAGAAAATATCCAGTTCTAAATGGTCTTGGGAAGGACACTTGGCCAGACAATCAGAACAGAGATGGACAACTACTATGCTGGAGACCACGCCTAACAAAACGTTCAGTGGGTCGACCTCCTAAAAGGTGGACCGACGATTTACGAACCATAGCTGGTAAAAATTGGGTAAAGAGAGCATAAAACCGAAACGATTGGAAAGTATTGAAAGGGGCCTACATTTTGCAGTGGATGGATAATAGCTAAAGAAGAAGAGGAAGAACATGTGAAAAAAAAACTTTGTCACTTTGATGCTTACACTAACAAAAATGCCGTCATATTGAAGACTATAACGGCGAGTCCCAAGGTTATATCCAATGCGCATATGTATATGATGCGGTTGACACAATTTTTTTCGGAATTTTAAATGATACCGATGGCGGGCAATTTGAATTGTCCCACTATGGAACCTGTCTTACTATACAACAGTTTCCCCTAACCAACTGGGGCTTCAACAACCAAGTCTTTCTATAAATCCCTCAGTATCTGTTCTTGGGTTTACTGCATGGACTAACTTGTCATGATTCATGAATCATGATTTTCGATCGCTGTTACCATGCGAGACATTTTGACGATCTGGCCAGCCTCATTCCAGCTAAGAGAGGTTATTCAAGAACCACAGGAACCTCACAGGCATCCCATCCGTTTGTGGTAAAGTTGGCTACTCCGAGGACCTATAAATATAGGTCTTCTTTTTGGTGGCGTACTGCCCACCTCTGGAATTCCCTGCCTCCTACTTCATTTTCTAAACGTTAACCTCAACATGTTCAAACGGAGCGTTACTCCTTCACTTAATTTCTTCTGCTCATGTTACCGCTTAGACAGCATAGACTGTCTTTTGTGAGCGGACAAATATTTAAAAAAAAACTATAACTGATCTGTAGTATAACATACCCGGGTTCGTTCAGTAAGATTGAACGATGAGAATTTTTATTATCTCATTTTTAAAAAATCTTCTGAAAAATAAAATGGAAAACAAATAGTACCTACGTTGAGAAAACTTACTCAATTTTGCTTACTGGACATGCGCCTGACATAGCAAATATTAGGGAAGTTGTGATATGTAAAATAAACGAAAATTTTGTGAAACGTCTACTTTATTATCAAAGTAAATCGTACCGTTCTCGACCTGGAATTCTCGAGGGGAAAGAGAACGGCAGAGAATCCCTCGATGGAACATTCCTCAAAAATCAAAACATACTGTGTCATTTTGATGATAATTGTAAGTCATTATTTCAATAATCAATAATTTAAGTCAATGATAAGAGTTTAAATCAGGTACCGCCCCTGTGCTTGTGCTAAAATTTTATTTCCACACACTACATTCAATCAACACTACCTATATCCAATACTGGAGAGTTTTTGGTTAGTTAGTTCATCTCTGGCAGGTACTGAGGTCCCTGGTTACGGGAGAGAAAAATAAAATGGAAAACAAATAGGACGTACGTTGTGGAAACTTACTCAATTTTGCTTACTGGACATGCGCCCGACATAGCAAATATTAGGGAAGTTGTGATATGTAAAATAAACAAAACATTTGTGAAACGTCTACTTTATTATCAAAGTAAATCGTACCGTTCTCGATCTGGAATTCTCGAGGGGAAAGAGAACGACAGAGAATCCCTCGATCGAACATTCCTCAAAAATCAAAACATACTGTGTCATTTTAATGATAATTGTGTGTCATTATTTCAATAATCGATAGTTGAAGTCAATGATAAAAGTTTAAATTAGGTACCGCCCCTGTGCTTGTGCTAAAATTTTATTTCCCCACACTACATTCAATCAACACTACCCATATCTAATACTGAAGAGTTTTTGGTTAGTCAGCCCATCTCCGGCAGGTACTGAGGTCCCTGGTCACGGGAGACTACTCAGCTATGGTTGTTATTTTGAGCCAATATCTCTGGTTAACTCTTAGGTTTTAATTTACTTCTTTATCTGAGCTGTTTACAGCATGAAACGATTTTTGTTAAATACATGAACAATGCACATGCTATAAAAAATGTTATAAACAAACAAAAAAACATGAAAAAAAATAATACTGGTATAAATTGAACCCTCAAAAACAAAATAACAATTATTCAACTGACCTGTGATCACTCCTTATGACACACAAACTAATCACAAATTGGATTAAACAATCAGTTCAATACAAAATGAAAATTGAATAATGAACAATGGAGGACAAGCGGTCTAAGGGACCAGCCCAGCTTCTTCTCTAGTCTAGTCTCTCATTCTCTTCTACCTACCCTTTCGGTACGATTTTCGTTGAGGCGCGCCCCGTTCTCATAAACTTTACAGCACATTTACTTTTATTCAGTAAACGTTTTTTAAAAAGTTAAGATTTAAAGAAATAATATTTTAAATAGGTGGTTTTCCTCAGATCGTTTTACCTTCCAATTCAAAACTATCCCCAACTATCGTTTCCAGCCTTCTCTAATTTTCTGGAAAATTTGGTATTAACAATTTCGGCTAGATTATCCTTTCAAGGCCAAGCTCCTGGAATATTCCAGTCATTGGGCATACAGGGGTCCATCAATATGATGCCGCACTTTTGTTTCAGAACTTTTTGTCCAAAACTTTTAGATCGCAATTATTATGATGTTGATAGAAATCTGTATTTTTTAAATAAAATCATTAATAAAAGCCAAAGAGGCTAAAACATAAAAAAGTAAGCGTCAAAAAAAATTCTTCTCCAACATCCGGTAGGTGCCCCCTATTGAAAAGACGACGACGCTATACATGCGGCGCACGGCATCGATTTAATCTTGAGGCCTTAGAGTATCTAGGTGACAAAAAAAAAACGCGAACTAGTCTACTAATGAGGCATTACTCCCTCTTCTCTTCTGTGGGGACCCGGGACTCTGGAGTGATGCAAAGGTCCTTACCCTCGTTCCCGAATATTTTTTTTTTGCTGGCTTTTTGCCTCTCTTGGCACAGCGCTTTGCATTTGTGCTATAAGCAGAATGCAGGTATAGGTTAGGGTTTGGTACACTGGTTTCAAACAAAAGTGATTTGTGCGGAATTGCGCTCGCCATTAATCCTGATGTGGAGGTTTTTTGAAAATATGCCTTATTTTTCTTTGCATTCAACAATATTGTAATAATGTAAATTTTTATTTTCAGAATGAAGTAGCCACCAAGAAGTTGAGCCCGCTACACCGGGCTGGCCGTTACTCAAAATGGGATTCGTGCTCCGCACGTTGCCATTTCTGGCCATTTTAATCCAATGGAGCACCGCAGAACAAGGTAAGTAATCTAGTATTTCAATTGCCCCTTTCCGTCTAAAAACAATCACACACGAACTGTAAATTATTACACGTTCTAGCACCGCGCGATCTCGATAGGAAAGACTTACTTATTGAAGCGGTACCTTAACTGTGTAAGCTTCTGCAAAATTTAAACTTCGTTTTCTATAATAGAGCAATCATTGTAAAGAAACTTCCTGTACTTACTACTAAAAAGATAATTGGTCTTTTATCAAAAACAAAATATCGACCACAGATAATATAGCCACTATATAACCTTTGCTATGGGCATTACTCAGGGGCCACGGACATTAAAGGAGGGACATCTTGCGGCAAATACCGTAATTAATGGCAATCACTCGCGTAACTGTGCCTGGATAATTGCTAATTACGTTCGCTAAGATGGACTTATAAATGCGCTGATATCGAACAATAATAGGCGCTATTACATCGGTAGGTATGCGCCCTGCGTCTGGACTTGTTGCTTCGGGTATTTTCACATGGAGAATCGACTTTTTTTTTGGTCCACACATGAAAAAAATCAAGTTTAAATACTATTTTAATTCTGTCTGAAATGCCCAAGGGAGTTTCAGGGCGCATTATTTTCGTATGAGACACATCTCTGGTGTTATTCTGCGACAGATAGCAATTAACTGTATTCACTTTGTCTGTCCTATGTAAACAGCCATTTATAGTTGTTTTAATATTTGGACAATCCGATGTGACATAAAATTACCATGAGATATAAATGATTGCATGTAACCTAAAACTGTTTTTAGGTTACATGCAAAACATGCATAGGCTACCTTGTTGTTTCGAAAAAAAAAATCAGCTATTTGTCTTCGTTTTGGTGTATTATTCAGGCCCATTTGTATCAGATTATTTTCAATCCGTTTTTGAGTTGCTATTTTTCTTTACTTCACTTATCCAATATTGGTAGCGCAATTAGGAAATACAATACAGCCGAATAGAAAGGCAAAATCTAAATAAAATGTAACGAAAGAAGAAAATTGTTCGTTTAAATTCAATTCCGTATGATGTTTATTTGCTTGTCACGAGTTATACTTTCTGAAAACAACTTCCGACGCGGATTTATATTTTTTGTCTCTACGATGGAGAAACCATGAGTTTGCTATTGACAAGTCATGAAAAATTACTCTGACTCCATTTTTCAGTGTACATACATTTCATAATAACTACTTAAGCACTAAGATCTATTCAGCTCATAGAATTTTTCGATAAGTATACTTGGCGACGATATTGGGTCGTAGACATTCGATGTATTTTGAATACTCCTTTGGTACTCATTAAGAGGCTGAGAGATTAACTATTTACCATGTCGTCTTCCCCAATTATCACGTCTCATTTTTTCCAGCATTTTGTCATTAGTCAAATGGATAGGTGCTTGTAACCCTGACTTCGTTATGATGCCTGTTCCATACTTTTCTTTTTTGTGTTAAAGTTTGAGAAACCATGATTCAAATTAAGAGGATTATACAACTCACTGTACATTATTCCCATATGACACGAGAGGCTTAATAAGTGATAAGCCTTTTGGGATTATCGCGCTTGGTGGCAATTATTATATCAAATTATATAGAAAAATTTTTGTTTCATTTTCTATTAAAGTTTAGTTCGTTGTATAATCTTTTGAATAGGTACCACTCGATGTTTCAGGATTACTAATACTTTTACCTGACACTCAACGCGTTACCAGCGTAACGTGTAACGTGTAACGTGTTTCGTGACAGGTAAAAGTATTATCCGGTAATCCTGAAACCTCTTGTGGTATTACATTCGAAAATACGACATATATTTGACACACTAAAAAGTGATTAATTAATGGACACACTGCACTGTCATACTCCTTTCTAAAATATTAAAATAAATGACTGGTCCTAAGACTTCCATAAAGATGTAGAATGTTCTTCAACATTTTGTTAGCAGTGGAATTGTTTTGGTTCTTGTCCTGTAAGTGATACCATAATTGAGTGTTTCTTGAATGTAACGGAAAATTCTTTTTACTTGGACAAAGTCTTTGTGAGTTAGATTTTCCAAAGTTCTTGACGCCACACTAACTGCGTATGAAGGTGAAGTAATGCTCCAACAGCCTCTCTATATGAAAAAAATTATATTTCGGCTTCTCCTGAAGGAAAATTATCCTTAACAATTGGAGTTTTGACGGGTCTGCAATTGTTCATACCAGATTTTTTCAACAACTTCCTGGCATATCCATTTTGATTTATGATAACTGATTCATTCTTAGACTTCATGATTTCCATACCCAAAAAATATGATGCAGGCTCTATCGTGATTTTAAACTCTATCTGTAGTTGTCGTAAAAAATATTTTTCCATTTCCTCATTGCTTGAGACTAGTAGACCATCGTCCACATATAAAACTAAAATAAGAATTCCTGTTCCTTCCCTCATGATGAAGAGATGGATCGGCATCACTATGTTTGAAACCAAAGGATAGAATGAAATCCGTTTTTCTTATGTTCCAATACCTAGCAGCTTGCTAAGGTCCATATAGGCTCTTCCTTAGATGACAAACCTTTTCTGTACTATCATTGAAACCCTCTGGCTGTTTCATGTATACTTCTTCTTGAAGCTTACCATATAGAAATGCTGTGCATACATCGAACTGGCTTAGACTTGAATTTTCACTTGCAGATAGACTCAAAACAGATCGTTTTGTAGCAAATCTAGCAACTGGGCTAAATGTCTCATCATAATCTTGATATTTCCTCTGTGAGTAACATTCTGCGACTAATCTGGCTTTGAATTTATCTATAGAGCCATTTGGATTGTATTTTAACTTGTACACCCATTTATTTGGTATAGCCTTCTTACCATTGGGTAGCTTTCCTAAAGTCCGAACACAGTTCTCCTCTAAAGACTTAATTTCTCTTCCCATAGCCATTTTCCAGTCATTTGCTTTATTACTTAACATAGCTTCTCGGTACGTAATTGGCTCATTTATTTCCATTATGTCCGCAACAACTATCATAGCGAAATCTTCAAACCTGGCAGGCTTTTATAACTGATTTCTATCTCTCAGTTGTCTACTTGGTACATTTGGGACTTCTTCTGAAATGTCATTATCTGGTGATTCTACTAAGATGTCAGAACGAGTATCAGAAAAACTGTGATTCCCCAAACCATCATCTTCTTCGCCGTCTTGTCCATTGTTTTCTTTAGTTTCGTGTTCTGGATTACCTTCCTTGCTTCTGACTATCTTACAATTGTTTTGCTGAGAAGTTACACTAGTTACAGCAGGGTCTTCCAACAATGGCAACGTTGAAGTTATGAGTTTTTCGTCGCATATCACATCTCTTGATCTGACTAGTTTCTCAGATTCTTCACACCAAATCCGATATCCATCATCTTGGACATATCCTATAAGTATGCCTTTTACTACCTTTTTATCAACTTTCTTTCTTCCTGACTTCGGTACATGGGCATAACAGGATGTTCCAATAATTCTCATGTGTTTTGAAGAAGGCTTTTTCTCATACCACAGTTCAAATGGAGATTTTCCTTCGATACTAGAATTACCAGTCCTATTCAAAATGTACGCCGATGTATTTATTATTTTATTTCAAAATAGTTGTGAAAGATCTTCATTAGTATGCATGATGGATCTAGCAGTTTCAACTATAGTACGATTATCTCGCTCTGCACAACCGTTTTGCTCTGGTGTATAACGCATTACGAGTCTCTGTTTGATTCCACTTTCTTGTAGAATTTTTCTTACTTGACCATTGTCAAATTCTTTCCACCATTATCTGAGAGTAGCTCTTTTACTGTATGTCCTACGGTTTTTATTTCAGTTAACATAATTGTCAGTTTTTCCGCAACTTCAGATTTTTCTTTCAGAAAGTAAACATAACGATAACGACTGAAATCATCCCTAAAGAGCACGAAGTGTCTATAGCCACTTTTGGATTTTTCAAAAGGCCCACAAACATCTGTGTGTAACAGTTCTCCTGGTACCTTTGCTCTTTTTCTCGTTCCAAACTTATTCCTGTGCATCTTACCATAAATACAACCCTCACATATTTCGCTATCTAAGGTCACCTTGAGGTCAAACCCACGACTCAAAATATCTGTGATGTGTCATTTGTTTTGATTACCAAAGCGTTCATGGTATAGTTGCAATAAGTTAGTGAGCTGTTTCCTTTGGCTTCTTTAATCTGCAATGCTAGTTTGTACAGTCCTCCAAATCTACTTCTTTCACCTATCAGTATGGTTTTACCACCAACTATAAAACTAAATTTTTTTAGAGCTTGAAGTAAACTTTGATGTAATCTGTAAATCTTGTGCATGTAAAACCGAAAATAAATTCTTTTTGATCAGAGGAACATCCATACGTCTGATGAGAACGTCAAAACATCTTCTCTGTCTTGAAGTTTTGTTTGTACCAGAATGTTTCCTTTTCCAAGTGCTCTAACTGTTTTTTCATTCGCTGTCGTTATGGTGTGTGTATCTTGAAAATATTCAAATGTTTCAAAGATATCACCTCGATTTGTAATATGAATTGTAGCCCCATTATCCACAAACCAGCTTTTCTCCTCACATTCGCTAAATAAGATACTAGGTACTTGTTAAGGCAACTAACTTCATGTTTGTATCCTTATTTTTCTGTGTCGTTCTGTTATTTCTTGAATTTGAGCTTTCTGGTTTTGGAGGTCTACCATCTTCTTTCCACTTAATACATTGTTTGACCTTATGACCTACTCTTCTGCAATAATTGCAAACTAGTTTTCTCTTATTGGTCGAGCTGCTTTTCTTTTCTGCAAGTATCGCCTCCTGATGACTTTCATTATTCTTGTTTGATAATGCCTTCTCATGAGAACAAAGCTGATTTCTCAAATTGTTTATAGTCCTGTCAGATTTCTACATTAACATCCAGCTTGACTTGAAGAAGGAGTAGTCTTGGGGTAGAGTTTCTAAAATCTTACAGACTAACTGCAACTCAGGTAACTCACAATTACAT